GCCCCTGTAGCCACATCACATATGTGCTGTGCTGTATCCTGAAGGAACAATAAACCCCTCTCTATTCTACGACTGGCGGAGTCTGTTCTTGCTGCTACGGGGCAAGATTTGGGGGAACCCCAACTCGCCGTCACACGAGGACATCCCACTGGGAAATGCTTTGGCTTCCTAGAAGACTTGGTGATAAAGCCAATGTCTATAAATCTTTCACCACGCAACTTAGGACATGCTCAAGTGGGTCAGAACCAACGTTCCTTTTGTCCAGAAGTCCCCCAACTGTGGTGTGCAGAAGAATGTTTAGGGGCTTAGCTAAGTCATTGGGCTTAGAGATTGGTTTAAAACTCATTAACGATGATAACTCTGGATAGTCCGTAGCCATGGACATGTCCAACCCCTTGTGGAAACAATCTTTCTTTTATGTTTTCTTTTTCTCTCTTTTTTTCCTTTCTTTTCTTTCACCTCCCTTCTGAATTTTGTTTGGCAGTAAGTGTTTTAGATGCATATCATGTAAAAGGAAAAATAAAGTGAGCATCACTCTAAAGAGCAGAAAGGTCTGTGACACCAGTTAGGACTTGGCAGGGATGATTAGGCTGATGAAAGAGAATAAATGGCACTTTCAAGGTAATAGATGCACCCAAAAGAATCATCATCTCAGAGTGCAATATGAGACAGGAACATTTTGAAGCAAAAAAGTTTATTCCCTTAAATGGGAGTCACAAACCTCCCTTTATTTTTTGATGTGAAATGCCAATGTCTGGGCATGTGAGTGTATTAAATCGTGGCAGATTTAAGAACTCCCGCCCCGCATGGGGATTTGATTGGGTGCCCTGCAGCACAGCAGTGTGGTGTGGAAAGTGCTCCTGGCGCGTTCAGGAGGAAAGGCACTAAAGGAATGCAAAGCGATGTCACTGTCAGAGGAGACCCATCTCACTAATAAGATGATTTTTCTGTTCTAATCTGTGTAGGTTCTTACCCCACTTTATCCCATCATGTGCCGCATCTGAGGCCGAGAGCCTCAAATATATTTAGGTGCCCAGCTCCCATGGAATAGCGGGGCCTGCGTGCCATAAGTGTTGTGTCGACATGTCTGTCAGGTGCTTGTTCTCTCATCCTCTTCCCGGCAAGGTGGGGGGGCGGGAATGCCCCGGGGAGTGCTTTCTTTTGGAAGGGTTGGGTATACAGTAAGTGCTCCATGCTAACCTTAGAGAATGCAGGGTAAAGAATTGTGCTTTGCACCTAGCGTGGAAGGTGGGAAGGTTTGTGAAGATCCTTAGTTCCTGAGCAGGTTCATGCCCCCACATCTTGGGCCAAGGCCTCTGTCTCACAAAGTCTTCTGCCAATAAAAGCTTGACGTTCCCTCCTAGGCCACGGTGAAGGCCCTCAAGGTAGAAGGGTTCAGGCCAGTATCTATCGGCTATGGGGTTGGCTTGTCACCTCCATCCAAGGGTCTAACTCAGCCCCCCAGCCCCGTGGCATGCACTGGTACATCATTGGCCTTCGACACAGAGAGGCTGAATGCCAAATGGGCCCTGGAGACCAAAAGCCCCAAGGGCTGGTTCTCCCAAGTCAAGCGTGGGGCCTATTAATGAGACAATGAAGGGAGAGCCAGCCAGCTGCTGCTGCATGTTTCCCAATTTGGGGATAAATCGCAGCCTTCTATCTCTGGGGCTCTAATCCTGGGAATGGTGGTGGCAGCAGGATGGTCCTAATGAGCCCGAGGCCTCCTGGGTTCGGTGCCCGCCGCCGTGAGCACTTGCACAAGCCACGTTCCCAGTCCTGGGTCTGAGTGTCCCTGTGTGTACAATGGGGAGAATGAGGCCTGCCTCCCAGCTTCTCCCTGAAGGCTCCGGGGCTGGGGGACCAAAGGGCTGTAACAGTCCTGAGCCATTCGCTTTGGGGATGAAATCAGGCTAGCCAGTCCCGCGGCTGGCTCCTGAGCTGATTGTTGGGACAGTCCGTAAGTTATTAACAGGAACGATGCGAGAGCATTGGTCTCACCCCAGATCACTGACAGCCTCCCTGGGGTAAGTCCCCATCCCGCATGGCCATGCAGAAACCCCCGGCCTTGACTTGCAGAACTCCAGGGAAAACCCATGGGGCCAGCAGTTGCTCAACAGCTCTGAAAACCAGCTGTCAGCCCAGTGGCCCTGGAGGGAGGGTGTGAGCCAGAACAGGAGTAGCTGTCCCGTGCGGCATGGTCGTGGGAAAACATGGAAGCCGCAGAATTAGCGTTGACTCTGGGTCGTCCGGAATGCTCCGGGGCTGTGCGTGGCCCTGGTTCTTTTGTGGCCATCAGGATGCTGTTGCAGAGCACAAATCCAGTAGGGGTTTGATCTCTGCAGTAACAAATCCAATAGGGGTTTGATCTCCTCCTCCAGGCAGCCCTCCCTCCCCCCTCCCTGCAGGTACAGAGGGGGCACTGGGTGAGGGTGGGGGGCATTATGCATAGAGAACAGCTCAGCAGCTCTAGAAGAGCAACACATCCTCAGACTGCCCTGCTGCCTCGTGGGGGCGGTGTGTGTGTGTATTGTGCGATGCACAGTATTCCTAGGAGCCACTAGGGTGTGACTGTATGTTCGGAGCACATGGTTGGTTTTGTGTGTGTTTGTGTTGGAGCGAGAGCTGCGCATATGCTGGTGTTTGTGTGGGTCTGTGTGAGCTGGGGAGTGTGGAGTTTGTGCCTATCTCGGGGATAGCAGGGTGTGTGTGCATGAGGATAAGCGCTGCGCTGGGAGTGGTGGCCATGCCACTTAGTGCTGGATGGTTCCAGTTTCTTCTCTGTCTTTCAGCTCTTTATCTTGAGGGGTCTCCAGCTGGGATGATCCCTGGAGGACTAGCCTCCAAAGCCAGGGGCCAGTACCCTCTGCTAATGCCTCTGTCTCAGGGTTTGTCCAGAGAACAGACAGGGCCAAAAGCCAGGGAGGAGAAAAGAGAAAAGGACACCAGGGGTATGTCTAAACTTTATGGCTCCGTCGATGGAGCCATGTAGATTAGGCTGATTGGCGGAGGGAAATGAAGCTGTGATTTAAATAATCGCGGCTTCATTTAAATTTAAATGGCTGCCGCTCTCTGCCAACCAGCTGATGATCAGCTGTTTGTCGGCAGATCGGGGCAGTTTGGACGCACCTTGGTCAACAAGGAAGCCTTTGTCGATAGGCGCAGATAAACCTGGTTTCACGAGGCATACCTGTGCCGGTCGACAAAGGCTTCTTTGTTGACCGCGGCACATCCAGACTGCCCCGATCTGCCGACAAACAGCTGATCATCAGCTGGTCGGCAGAGTGCGGCAGCCATTTAAATTTAAATGAAGCCGCGATTATTTAAATCACAGCTTCATTTCCCTCCACCAATCAGCCTAATCTACATGGCTCCATCGACGGAGCCATGTAGTTTAGACACACCCCAGGAGAGCAGAAAACGAGGGAGAAAAATGCCAGGCTTGAATTGGGCTTCCAGTGGCTGGGTGGTCCCATGAAGGTCATGCATCACCTCTCAGGGTGAGAGCAAATGGTGCGGAGTGATCTGTGAGTGCTGCAGACAGACGGACTGGTGACATCATCCGAGTGTGTGTATGTAAGAGCCTACCTATTTGGGATCCTTTTGCTGAGAGCCTCCGAACAGCGGAGCAGGGTGTGAAGAGAGAGACATGGAGGAAACATTTGAGGGAGACATTGCTAAGAGCCAGCCTGTTTGGGGAGGGTCCCTCAGGTACATCCCGCTCAGCCAGAAGTAGGAGGTGAAGTCCAGCCACAGACAAGCCAGGGCTACAGTGTGAACCAGCGGCTACGCTGGGGACTGCCAAGACCTGGGCCCTGTGGGACTTCAGAAAAGTGATTCCCAACTCTGTTCTGTTTCCTCCCTCTGTCCCGTCTGTTTAGACTGTCAGCACTTCAGGGCAAGAATGGTCTCAAACAATATATTTGTACAGCCCCTTGCGCAATGGGGCCCCAAGCTCCTACTGCTACTGATAATACAGTAATCCCTCATTTAACACTATAGATGTGTTTCTGAAAATGTTCGTGCTAAGTGAAAATGTGCAATGCGGGGTCAATTTTCCCATTAAAAATAATGGAAAAGCTGGGGGTTGCATTTCAGGTGGTGGTGGCAAAGTCAATTTTTTGTTGGTGCTGGGTCGTCAACGTCAACATTAAATATCTAGCAACACAAGATAACTAGCAACACAAGTCGCCACGGTTTGTTAAAACACAAAGATAAACACATGAGTGAGTGGAGGAGAGCTGTGACCATGTGTATTCATCCGCTCATGCGTATTACCACTGTTTTCACCAACGTATACCGCCGCGCGAAGTAGTCCGCCACTTGATTATTTCCGTGTTATTTCGGGGACGGTCATGTTATTCAAAAACATTCCCTAAAAAAAAATCATGCTATTGCAAAAATGTGTTAAGCGGGCACATGTTAAATGAGTAATTACTGTATGTGAGTCCCTGAGAGGAATCAAGTGTGCTTGTGAGCTTACCCCAGGGCTGTAAATGCCTCCTCCGCTGCCTTTCACACCAGCCTCCTTGAACTCAGAGGATGCGCCTGCTTTTGCCAGCACTTGCTCCACCCGCCTCTTCAGCCCTGAGCTGCTCTCCAGGCAGGCACAGAACCTGGTAAAGGCTCCTTGGTCCCTCTGACTCTTGGAGCAAAGAAAGGACGTCCCAAGAGCCGTGGTGTGGGTGTAAGGCCCCCATATAAATTTGGGAGTGAGATACCAAGACCTGCACAGCAAAGCAGTGGTAGAGTTGGGAATAGAACCAGTGACTCCAACCCCCCAATCTCTGCTGTGGCCCGAAGAGCACATGGCTTCAGCAAGCGCCTTGAGGTCTTGAGGCTCTGGTGTGAAAGGGTTAAATCAGTCACGTGAGTCATGTTCCTGCCAGTTAGCATCCACGCCCTCCCGCAGAAGGCGTGGCCATAGCTACATGATGCCCAATCCGCGGCCGTGAACTAGTTACCCACGTGACACCTGATGGATTGTCAATGTCTCCTTGCAGACCCTCCTCTCGTCAACCTGTCCGTAGAGCCCCAGCCAGTGCTTGAGGACAACACGGTGAAGTTTCACTGCTCTGCCAAGGCGAACCCAGCGGCAACCCAGTACAGGTAAGACTGCCTGCAAGGAGCTGCCCTCTGTTCACGATGGTACGTGTTCAACACTGCCCCCTGCTGGAGCGCTGCTCATGTTGAACGGTGCGTGCTGCTGCCTGCCCATAGGGAGTTGCTTCCCATAGCTTGCTAGAGTGCAGTTGAAGCTGTGGCTGTGTTTATTACCAGGCTGGAGACCCGCTCTTGTGATTGGCATGGGGAGGCTTTGCTGTCACTTCCAGGCTGGACATTGACCCACCTGCACAGACCTTGCAATGGATTAGCTGGGGTACAGAGTTCCCACTGGAATAGCATGGGCCTACTCCTATATGCCCCTTCCTCCTCCTGGGTGAGCAATGCTCTCTGGTGCTCCAGCCACAATCCCTTGATGGTGATGTTGGATGTGAACAGCCTCCATCTTTGCCTCAGCCACGGATGGCTGCAGGACACACCAACTCCTTGGTCCGAGGTTCCCTGCCTTGACAGAGGGGATTGGAGCCCTGTCCGCATGATAGCAGAACCATATGTTTAGGGACACAACTAGCAAAACACAGACAGTCTATCATGGGAGAGCTTGTTGAGTTTTTCCAGAGGCTTTTACATTTTGGAAGTTACAACTTCATCTCGCTGCTGGTGCCCATGGCAGAGGTTGTCTGATCGGAAAAGTATATGGCAAAATACAGATTCATTAGTCACCACATAGCACAGAGCAGTGGTTCTCACCCAGGGGGTACCTAGAGGTCTTCTAGTGTAGGGGTGGGCAATAATTTTTGGTGGGGGGCCACTTCAAGAGTTTGGAAGATGGTCAAGGGCTGCACTTTTCTGTGGAGGGGCAGTGGGGGTCTAGGGTGGGGGTTGGCTGCAGAAGGGTGCATGGGGTAAAGGGACTGGGGTGCAGGAGACAGTGTGAGGTCTGAGAAGGAGTTTGGGCGAAGGAGGGGGTTGTGACCTGGGTCAGGGGATTGGGGTGTAGGGTCAGGGAGGGAGTGTGGGTACAAGAGAGGATTCTGGCCTGGGGGAGGGGCTCTAGGAGGAGGTGCAAAGTCTGGGAGGAATTGTGACCTGGGAGAAAGGGGAAAAAGGGGGTGCAGACTGCAGGGGGTTTGGGTGGTGACCTGGGGCAGGGGAATGGGGTGCAGGGTCTGGGAGGGTGTTTGGGTGCAGGAGAGGATTCTGGCCTGGGGGAGGGCCGTGAGGAGGAGGTGCAAAGTCTGGGAGGAATTGTGACCTGGGAGAAAGGGGAAAAAGGGGGTGCAGACTGCAGGGGGTTTGGGTGGTGACCTGGGGCAGGGGAATGGGGTGCAGAGTCTGAGAGGGTGTTTGGGTGCAGGAGAGGATTCTGGCCTGGGGGAGGAGGGAGTTGTGACCTGGGGCAGAGGGCACAGAGGGTATGTATGGTGTCCTGGGGCAGAGTTGGGGTGCAGAAGGGGCTGGGGTGACAGAGGCAGGCTCTAGCTGGGAGACGCTTACCTAAGAGCGTCCTGGCGAGCCGCCCTGCAGCACCCCCAAGGCAAGCTGGGCTCCCTGCCTCCTCCAGATCCACATCACTTTAAACTGCAGACTGTTTCCTCCACATGGCTCTTAGCTCCAGGAGGGGGAAGAGGCTTGTGCTGCCCCCTACTCCAGACCATTCTCTGGAGAGATTGTCTGGGATCAGTTCCTATTGGCCCGTTGTTTCCAGCCAATAGGAGCTGAAGATTGGGCTGGGGGTGGGGAGATCACACAAAGCCTCCCCCCACCTGTATAGCAGAGAGCCACATGGACTGCGCTTTAAACCGTAGCAGCTGCTTGCCTGAGGGTCCCAGCAGAGTGGTCCACGGGCCAGATCTAGTGGCTTGGTGGGTCAGATCCAGCCCGTGGGCCGTATGTTGCCCAGCCCTGTTCTGGGGGGTACATCAGTCGATCTAGATATTCACCTAGTTTTACAGTAAGCTACATAAAAGCACTAGTGAAGTCGGTACAAACTAAAATGTCATACAATTACTTGTTTATATTGTACACTGAAATGTAAGTACAATAATTACATTCCATTTGATTTATAATTATATGGTGAAAATGAGAAAATAAGCAATTTTTCAGTAATAGCATATTGTGACACTTTTGTATTTTATGTCTGAATTTATAAGCAAGTAGTTTTTAGGTTTGGTGAAATGTGAAGGTATGCAGAACAAATCAGACTGCTGAAAGGAATATTGTAGTGTGGAAAAGTTAAGAACCGCTGTCTTAGAGTAGAGGGTTCCCAAACTGGGAGTCAAGAACAGAGGCTATGGGTTTACTCAAGAGTGGAGCTGAGCAGGAAATGTTTTTCCTGTCCTGAAATTTTTTTTGAGATTTCAACAGGTTTTTTGCATCCCAAACTGGGACAAATAATCAAAAATCTCAAATATTTTCACAAATCAACAAACTAGAAAACCCTTTTGTTTTGATCATTTCAGTTTCAAAACGTTGCATTTTTATTTTGACTTTTTAAAACCTTTTTTAAATGTAAATGTACTAACATTTAGAAGTAGAAAGTCATTTCAACTCAACCAACCAAAAACATCAAAACACTTTGACCATTTACAAACTTTCCCAAAAATATTTCTTTCAGGGGATTTGTTAAATCTGACCCTGTTTCATGACCAGTTTTAGACAAATTGGCATCAGAAGTTTCCCAACTCGTATAACCCATGACTGCCCTTCACATGTGGGGAGAATCTTGGCCAGATATAACCAGATGGAGAAGGTCGCAGAATGTAGGATCACTGGCCAGAAAAGTTTGTGAATGCCTGGATAGAAATAATACTCTCCTTTAGGGGATCAGTTAGGCTATGTCAACATAGCGTGTTATCATATATATAGTAGCCCAGTGTCTGTGACTCTGTAACGCTGACATGCTGCCTTTTCCCTCTGGGCGGCGCTGTTGCCTGAGTCATGTTCTTTGCCTCTCACCTTGGTGCTCTGCTGACTTCTGCGCCGCTCAGCCGGGCCACTGCAGGGGAGCAAACGGCACAAGTGGCCGTTTGCAGCAGGGGTTGCGTGGAGCCCAAACGGTCGTGTATAGAGGAGAAGAGAAAGAGAGAGACAGAGAGAGAGGCAGGAGACGGAGGAGAGCTGAGAGAGAGGGGGCGGGAGGCAGTAGAAGGAGGAGCGAGAAAGAGAGAGAGAGAGAGAGATGGAGCGAGAGACCGGAGGCTCAGGAGAGAAGACCGATGTGGAGGAGAGACCTAAAAATCGCGTCTTAAGATGGGCTAATTGGCTAGTTTCAGAATAACTGATGTTATTCTGAAATAACATATTCTGCATCTACACAACAAGTAGTTATTTCCACATAATGTTGAAATGATGTTGAGCTGGAGAACTTCTTACTCCAACTGCTGTAACCCTCATTTCACAAGGAGTGAGGGAAGAGAGGAAGAGTGCTCTAACTCGGACTTCCTACTGTGTAGACAGTGCCAAAAGCTGAAATAAGCTATTTCGACTTATGCTACACAATTGACGTAGCTCAAGTTACAGCCCTGCTGTATAGATGTGCCCTTCATGGTAAATTAATTAATGTTTGTGAAAATCGGGATCAGGCTGGCTAAATAGCCTGGGTCATTTTTCTCGAAGGGTCCATCTTACACCTCAGAATTTAAGTTTTTTAGTTCACATATAAAACCTTATGACTGGATAGAAAATGCTCACAATGTGACTGAATGCATAGTGGTGCAGTGATGCTTGCCAGACAGTCTGCAACAATGGCTTTGAAAGAAGGGTGAGCCGACCCATTTGTTCCAGCTGAGAATTAACACTGAATCCCAGTGGGGCTGATTTAAATGGCCGGAGTGGGGCAGCATGACCAGTGGAGTGTGCCCAGGCTGGAGAAACAAGAGGCTCTCGTCTCGGTTCTAACCCAGCCCGTAACAAGGTGATGTTGAGCAAGTCCTTTCACCTTCCTGTCTTAATTTCCTCTTCTGTAGAACAATATCTCCCTGCCTTACCCCTGACATGTGATGGGAGAATTAGCCAATGACTAATTACAGTACAGTGTTTCCAGGTGTGACGTGACATACTGTAAAACCTCAGAGTTACAAACACCTCAGGAATGGAGGTCGGTTGTAACTCTGAATAAAACATGCTGCTTTCCCTTGACATTGTAGTGGTTCGTCTTTGCCACATTACTGTACTGTGTTGCCTTGGTCTTTTCTTTGTCTCCGCTGCGGCCTGTCTATGTACTTCTGGTTCCAAAGAAGGTGGGCGGTTGAGTGATTAGCTTGTAACTCTGGTATTTGTAATTCTGAGGTGCTGCTGGATGTTTGTTATGTGTTAGTGGCGTCATTAACTACTTCGTTGACGAGCAAGGCATATGAGAAAGGAGAGAACCAATTATACTATCAAGACCTGCTCCCGGTGGTCACTTGTTTTAGCATCATGACACAAGCAGGCATTGCGGGTACCATCTTTTTGTTTCCAATCTGGTCCCTGGCTCAAACATTCTGAGTTCCTCAAAAATGCCATCGCCCCGCCTATAGATTACCATACAGTACTCATCCATTCTCTGCGTGTCCTTCTGCAAACCAGCCCAGAAGCTGTGGTTTGACTCGTGTGTATCCCCAAGTTGATCAGACATACTGTAAGAGCTATAAACTCACAGCTGAGATTAATTTAATCTCAGAGATCCAACTGGACTTCACAAGTGTTGTAGGCATGACTTCTTTCTGGTCCCCTAGCAGAGCTGATGCTTACAGATCACCGAGAACTCTTGGTTGGAGTCTTGATTCCAGTAGCTTGAGAGATACACTATGCCAAATGGACACTGGTTTCTACTTTCCTGAGCAAGACGTTGGAACCAGGGTAGGGCAGCCCACTCACAGAATCCCCCATCCTGCCGGTTAGGACAGGATGTGTATAGACAGGGTGGAGTGCATGCCCATGCAGGACAGAACTGACCAATAAATCTCATTGTCCCTGAGCTCCCTGGGTTGCCAGCTGCAGTAGATAGAGGGACAGAAATCTCAGCCTCACATCTATCTTGCAGCAGAGCGATCCACCAGCTA